ATCCTTCTTAGTTGATGTTGTGATGTTACTTATGATTCCCGCATCCTTCTTAGTTGATGTTGTGATGTTACTTATAATTCCCACATTCTTCTTAGTTGATGTTGTGATGTTACTTATGATTCCTGCATCCTTCTTAGTTGATGTTGTGATGTTATGATTCCTGCATTCTTATTATAGTGGTTTTTTTCTTTTTTTTCAGTTATGGAGACACAAGATTAGAAAAGCAGTGTCGTAACTTAAGTCGCGATTATAACAAGGAGCAACTTTCTTTGCAACACAGGTTGCATGGAGCGTTGCAGCGTGTAACCTACAGCGCAATTGGAAATAATGCTGCGAAACAAGTTGCTGAAATGGTTGCAAAGAGTATAATTCCTTTCTATTTTTGGTAACGATTTCGTCTTCGCTGCACCGTGTAAACACTCTCGCAACTTGTGCCACAACGCTGTCGCGATAGAAGATGCTGAAAAAAATTGATCCATGTTATCGCGCCTTTGGTGTTTCCTGTGGACGATTATAAACTTACAGCTTCTATAAAGCAGATCTGGAATTGGATTATTAGAGTTTAAATGTTTATCGTAACGCTTGTTTTATCTGTGTGTTATTTATGTTAAATAAATAAGGCCATTTTGAGTCTTTTTTTTTTCCATTGTCGCGAGCCAAGAGGCGAGCAGTGAGACCACCAGCTGAGCGGTAACTTGTGTTTCAGCCAATCATAGCGCGTTTAGCTGTTTTGCCGCCGGTCCTCATTCCCATGCTACTGTAACCCAACTTTTGTGTATTTTTTCTGTTTTCAAGGAGCAGAAATATGAAAAGGAAGAATAAAAACGAAGTCACTTTACTGTCATATTTGCTTCGTGCTTTTTAGGCTCAAAAAATGCTTAGGGCCGATCATGTTGTCCACTAATGCTTTGTGCGCCGCGTTCACCGCACAGCTGGTAATCCTAATGGTTTCCCGGTGCGGGATCCTTTTGTACTTAACTGGTTTCAGGGAAAAACTTCGATTTGTTTTTGTCGTTCTTTCGTGATGATTTTCGGGGCATGCAGTTCGTATGTTCAGCACGGATCACCTACGTTCACAGTAATTTGCTGAGGAGTGTTTTATCAGCTTTAAATACACGTGGCCGAGAGGTTTTAGTTCTGATAAAAGACGTTCTGCGAGTATACTGCAATAATTTCAAAAACTCATAAATAATTTACAAACATTTGTTCGAAATAGAGCAACTATGCACGTCACGAACAGGAACTTTTAAGCATTAATAGAGGTTTTTACGTCATTGTCATCGTACGCTAGAATGACCAGGGAGGGAGCCAGGGGTGGTAAAAGGGGTGACTAGTCACCTTCCCTTTTGCTCATATTTCTTAATATATCGTTGTCAAAACTTTAGTAATAGTCACGCCCCTTCTACAATTTCTGTATCCGCCTCTGATGACTGACCTCGATGAAGCTATGAGTCTTCATCTAAACCAGACACTAGTTACGATCGGTTATAGAAATCTTAGAGGAAGCCGAGCCAATTGAGTTAAAAAGAATTGGATCCCCCTAGTAGGGATCATTTTGGTCAAGTTTTTTTGAGAGTTCGATGGTTAAAAGACGGTAAGATCGTATTTGAAAGCGTACGTTATGTTTGAAAAGATGGTGATTGTACTTTCCTCCCTTGTAAGAGTAATTATATACATATCAACGACATTACATACCATAGGGGAAGTATATAGGAAAAGAAAAGGCCCGCGCGAAAAAAATATTTTTTCTAATGATTTCTTTTACCCTTTCGTGTTACGGCGGACATTATCTCGTGTAACCTCGAATTAAAAAATCAATTATTTAATTTTCCAGATTTTATTCTGACCTTTCAATTTTATCTAAATTGGACTCTATGTAACACAGGAGGTTGAAATCCATGCATTTGACTCGGAGTGCTGTCAATTCAAGCAAGTCGATGCTCCAGCCCTTTTCTGTGGCCTTGATGTTTTACTGTATTCTTTAAGGTGCTCAACTTCCTCCTTCAGAGCTATATCTTTTACTTCTCGAGCACTTTGCTCAATGATATTATTTGCGAATCATCTGGCATGCGTTTTTTAAATGATTTTCTCAACTAGTGGGGCGATTATCTTGACTGATGTTGCGTACTCTTCGTTTGCTTCGAGACACGGGTTTGTGAGTCCAAAACCACCTATATGTACTGGCAATGCTAGGAATGGTCGTTCAGCTTGATTGCAGTCATGCTCTGTAATAGCGGAGCTCCCGCGCGGACCTATACGTCTCAGTTTTCGTGGTCATCGCATGGGAACCCTGTGCGTAACGCTAAAAGTGTCGCCCGCCAGGTGTACATCGCGTTTCTGATTGGTCGAGCTTTCAAATCACACGTCACTTGGAAAATGACGACTTTTTTTAACGAGCTTTTTAACTATCATTTTTTTGTAAATATTGTAAAAACGAAACAAAAATTTATTGAAGAAATCATGGAAAAAAAGAATTCGCCACAGTGTGAAGATAGAGATTAGGACATTTTCTATTTTGTTTTATTTAGTGTAGATAACATAGCTACAACATTACCGGAAAACGAGCAACAAACTAGCATGACGAACGAGCGAAAAAAGTAGTTGTTTTGTTCTTATGGTAAGAGTATTCGTAGTTCATACATGATAGAGAATAATCATTTGAAAAAGCACTTTTTGAATTCCACAATTAGACGAATCCAAGAGATTTTTGACAAAGTTTAAAGTTAAATAACATTCCTAAAATTACCGGCCAACGAGCAACGAACTAGAATGACAAACGTGCGAAAAAAGTGTACCTGTTTTGTTATTATGGCAAGAGTATTTTCATCTTTCTACAGATAATTTATCTAAATATTTATTGAGTTTTAAAATTACACCAAATATTCAACTGTTTATTGAGCTTTTTGACCTAGTACATGATTATAAAAATGAGCTTAAATTTGTGTTGTTGTGAGATATGTTATTGTATAAAGAGCAGTACCTTGTCTTTCACTTTCAAAAGCTAAGAAAATATTTTAAAACATTTCCAAATGCCAATTTACTAACAAAGAAAATTTTATTTTGTATTTTCATTGTATTTTGCGTTATTTTCTATTTTGCTTCAGTTGTTCTTGTCAAGTATAAATGAATGTATTTATTAGTTTTTCAAAAACTTTTGTTGTTAACAAGATGAAAACTGGTAAAATTGAATTTTCAAAATTTAGTAAGCTTATGTTTTCAAGCTTCTCGAAAAATAGTTTAAGACTTTTATGAAAATACGGTTCTTGTAAAAACATAAAACTTTTGACGTGGATAATTAACCAAACATCGTTATTAGCGTGAAAGAAGTAAAAGTAAGCTTATATATTTTGCTCACCTTTTTTTTACCAGTTTTCAAGTCTGTTTCATAGTCTTGATTTGTCCATAAAAGTTCCGAAATTTCCAAAATTTTGATTTCAATGAAAGACATCCGAGGTAAACTTCACTAAACTTGATTTTTTTTTTAAAGTGAAAGAGATTCATAGGCTAAAACTGTCGGCCTTGGAAATTTTGTCGAAGAATCTTCCAAGAAAAAAACTAGCCCCTGGGGGGGTTGGTGGTGAGTTGTGTACAAAATTCATATAAGTGGGATCGGGAGAGGATTCTCGCGCAAAGAAAGCGATGTAGTGTATTTTGATTCGTTTTCAGTGCATGTTTTTTTATCATGGGAGACATTATCTTAATATTGAATAAAAAAATTGAAGATTTTTTTCCTATTTTAATTTTATCTTCCACATTCATTCAAATTGGGCTCCCTGTGACTTGCGTATCGGGAGCTCCGTTTTTGGGCAGTGCCTAAATATATTTAATAGATAGATAGACAGACAGACAGACAGACAGACAGACAGACAGACAGACAGACAGACAGACAGACAGA